CAACAGGGATTGTTGATGTTCCCATATGCCACATTTTCGCGATTTCTATTTCAAGGTCCTTGTACTTTGACAACTTTTTGAATATCTTCAAAGATATATTGCAGTCGGCAGGGACTGCCATATCAATAAGGAGGCACCGTTTTTGTTTATGGTCTTTAATAACAATATCTGGGCGGTTGGCCTTGATTGTTCTGTCAGTGTGTATTGTTTAGTCCCATAGAATTGTAACAGGTCCTATCTCCGTAACCGGGTCTGGGTGGTGTTCATACCAGTTTCTTTCAGTTTTCTTCCCGTAGAAGTTGCAGATTTTCCAGTGCAGATATTGGCCCACTCTGTCATGTCGGGTTTTGTATTCAGTGGGTGCCAACACCGTACAACCTGCTACAAGATGATCAATCGTTTCTGGATATTTATCACAGAATCTGCATTTTGGACTGACACAATATTTTAGTATATGTGCTTGATAATTCCTAGTTAGCAAGCATTGGTCCTGCGCAGCAAGGATAAAACCTTCAGTTTCCGCTTTCAACCCTGCACTACGTAGCCACTGATGGGTACGGGTTTTGTCTACGTCAGCTTGTTTGGTACGGGCAGAGTATTGGCCATGAAGCGGTTTATCTTGCCATCGCTTCTGTAACTGGTCTGTTGCATTCGTCTTAGCTATCTTTTTTAGGTATTTTGCAGTTTCAGCCGGTGTATTGTGCTGTAGTTGCATCTCTACGCCCATTTGGAACTCCATTTTGAATTTGTTGGCTTCCTTCATTACGGAGTAGAGACGCTTACTACTTTCATGTTCCATGACGCACACCATCATCCAGTCTTCTGTAGTTTCCAAATATATTATTATTATTATTATTATTATTATTTCGTTTCATATCTGGCGTTTACACATTTCTTTCCGAGTTCCGCCCAGGGACCTAAGGTTAGAAATGGCAACATGACACTTTCCACTGACAAAAAAAAAATTACATAAATCCCTTCGTAAAATGTGGGCTGTACTTGTGAGAACAATTTTTTGTATCTCTTTGATGCATGGACTTCCAGGAATCTCTTCAATTAGTCTACTGGAATCTTTTCTAACCAATCCTAGAGCTCCAACTACAACAGGGATTGTTGACATTATTATTAATATTATTATTATTATTTCCTTTGATTTTTGGCGTTTGCACATATCTTTCCGGGTTCCGCCCAGGGACCTAAAGTTAGAAATGACAACATGACACTTTCCACTGAAAAAAAAAATTACATCGATAAATCCCTTCGTAAAATGTGGTCTGTACTTGTGAGAACAATTTTTTGTATCTCTTTAATGCATGGACTTCCAGGAATCTCTTCAATTAGTCTACTGGAATCTTTTCCAACCAATCTTAGTGCTCCAACTACAACAGGGATTGTTGACATTATTATTAATATTATTTTTAATATTATTATTATTATTAACTAGTTATTTGATTAATGCCTCTTAGTAAATAATCAACAGACAGAAAATTCCAAGATTAACAAGATCACCATCATATTACGCACGTTCCTTCACGCCGGCGGAGTTTCATTCGTTTTCACCAGGTGATTACCAGTACAGTTATTTTCTTCAGACAAGCGACGTTTGTACATAGACTTATACTTATGTGTAGATTTTTTATATTATTACACTTGTATACAATATTTAAAGTAAACTTGACGAAGACATACATACTGTCGAAACATTGTCAAACACTGTCTCTTTTCGTTTCTTTTTCTTTTCTTAAATCGCACTCTTCTCTAAATGTTAATAATAATAATAAGGACATGCAAATCGAAGTGGATAAGATGTGGATAACATAAAACTATCCCTGTTGTGATAATGGCATTGGGTAGGATAAAGAAAATCATGTAAGTAAAATTCCTGGACATATCAGCATCTCATAGATGCAAAAGTTTATTATGTGTGCAGAAATGCACATATCATTCGCAAAACTCTCTCCATCTAAACAAAACGACCCAAATGTGCATAGATAACTTTTCTACGGTGACCCACTTTATTGATAAACTCCGGAGGAGACGTGGTAATCGGGCACTTAACATTAATCTTTGGCAAGATGATACAACAAACTGTAATAATAATAATAATAATAATAATAATAACAGCTTCCTATAGACTTATTGAAGGGCATTCCTGATAGCCCAAGCCTTAAGGAAATACAAAAAATTGTACCTAGAAGTACAGTTCATACATTACGAAGAGCTTTATCTATGTAAAATGTGAGTGAGTCTTTTTTTTTTTTTTTTACAAAAATGATCAGTGGAAAATGTCATGAAGCCATTTATGACGTGAGGTCTCTGATTGGGATCCAGGAGAAAATGTGTGTACACAAGAAACCAATAGAAATAATAATAATAATAATAATAAATATCCAGAAACGATTGATCATCTTGTATCAGGTTGCACGATGTTGGCACCCACTGAATATAAAACCCGACATGACAGAGTGAGCCAATATATGCACTGGAAAATGTGTAGTTTCTACGGGAAGAAAACTGGTATGAACACCACCCAGATCCGGTTACGGAGATAGAACCTGTTATAATTCTATGGGACAACACAATACACACTGACAGAACAATCAAAGCCAACCGCCCAGATGTTGTTATTAAAGACCACAAACAAAAACGGTGCCTCCTTATTGATATGGCAGTCCCTGCTGACTGCAATGTATCTTTGAAGATATTCAAAAAGTTGTCAAAGTACAAGGACCTTGAAATAGAAATCTCGAAAATGTGGCATATGGGAACATCAACAATCCCTGTTGTAGTTGGAGCCCTAGGACTGGTTGGAAAAGATTGCAGGAGACTAATTGAAGGGATTCCTGGAAGTCCATGCCTCAAGGAGATACAAAAAATTGTTCTCACAAGTACAGCCCACAGTTTACGAAGGGCTTTATCTATGTAATTTTTTTTTTGTTAGTGGAAAGTGTCATGATTCCATTTCTAACCTTAGGTCCCTGGGCGGGACCCGGAAAGAAATGTGTAAACACCAGAAATCAAAGAAAGTAATAATAATAATAATAATAATAATAATAATAATAATAATAATAATCGTCGAAAGAGGACCGTGAAAACTTGGAGGCAAAGATAAGAAAGATAATAACAATGAAGAGACACTTTCACACTAGGATTAATACTGCTAAACTTTAGCAAAAGAGGACGGAATAGATTTTGGCAGGGGTAGAAGAATGTGTAAACATCAATATGTAAGATGTATTGGTTCTTGAAAATGACTGCGATTGTCGAAAACACTTGAACAAAAACAAAAACAAAATAGGAAGTTTATTCAAAATTCCAGGCCCAAAAACTCAACACTTTATTTGAAAAGTGGAAAAATACAATAAAATTTTAAAAAAATGAAATAAACTGACCTCGTTATATATATATATATATATATATATATATATATATATATATATATATATATATATGGTATATATACTCGACTCTCCCATCGAATTCGACGTATGAGGGCCAAGCAGATCAGTTCCTAGGAAACCGACAGCACATAAGATTTGATTATAGTGGTGAAGTTTTCGTGCAGGACCATCCACACTTTTTGAAGGGCGCGAATACAGAGACCTGGTGCACTACGTGCCACAAGGTCCCCAAACAACCCTCCGCAGGTGTTACTTGTACTTCTTCTTGACCAGTTGCCATCCAAGGCTATAGAACCCAGTCTGTCCTGCTATTTACCTATAGCTGGAGGGAGAAGAAGAGGATTCACACCTTTCTCAAGGGTATTAGCACGTAAGTGAATGTAATGGATTCGACTGAAATTCTAACTCGGTTCTACGATTCCTCAATCCGTGTCTCCTATCTATCTATCTATCTTTTATATATATATATATATATATATATATATATATAGTTTAAAATGACAACTGGAAAAAAAATCTTTCGAAAACTTTGACTTTTTCAAGGCAAAAATGAAATCTAAATGCTTTTGTTGTTATAGTTACATTGCAAAATCCTTTATACTAAATTATAAATTACACTTTTTAACTATAACAACGAAAACATTTCGATTTCATTTTTGGCTTAAAAAAGTCGGAAGACGAAACGCGTCGGCAAAAAACTAAGATTTTTTTCCAGTTGTCATTTTAGACCAATTTGTCTTGTCCACAGAATTGATCTGGGAATTTAACTATATATATATATATATATATATATATATATATATATATATATATATATTCGAGTACATTGTAATCGGTGTGATTTTGAAAATGGGTTTTGCTTTCCTTGGCTCCTTCTGAGCTCAATGTATTAACGTGCCAACAGTTTTAAATAATTTCATTTCTTTGTTTATTGATTTACTCACGTTTGTTTTTAAAATTTTATTATCTAGGCTTTCTCCTCCATACATCGATTGCAATTTCTGCATCTGGTTTATTCTAGTTACACGTAAAAAAATAAAAAAAATAAAAATGTAGACCTCAGGAAAGTCTAAGGAAACCAAAATCCAATTTTGAAAATCGTAAGTGCGGAAATTCAAATATCTGGGAAGTGTTTTAACAGACGATGGAAATTGTGACACTGAGATCCGAAGTCGTATTGCGATAGCCAAGGAAGTATAACAAAAGCTAAACAGAATACTAAGAAACAAAACATTTCGCGAGAAACAAGGAAAAGAGTGTTAAACTGCTTGGTGATATTTGTCTTCCTGTATGCCAGTGAGTGCTGGACGATCTCCTCAAAGATGAAGCTGCTTTAAGCAACATGTGGTTCTACAGGAGAATGATGAGGATATTCTGGACCGAAGACGTGAGCAACGATATAGTTTGGAAAGAAAATGTCAACAACAAGGAAACTGATACTTAAGACATCAGGTAGAGAAAGTTGAGGTTTCGGTGACACATAATGAGGAAGGAAGGCTTGGAAAATTTTATACTCACAGCACAGATAGAGAGCGCATAACACACATAGTAAGCTTGATAAAATGGATAGCGGAACAGGGCTTGGGAGAAATAACAGAGTCAGAGAGAGAGAGAGAGAGAGAGAGAAGAGAGAATGAGAAAGAGAGAGCGAGAGAGAGTAATCACTGTGTAATTGTAACAACTTATTTTCAACTTCAACTATTCGAAAGGTGGAAAGCTTAACTCTGTCTCGCCAAGAAAGAGTATCTGGTTGTATTGAAAGTTGACTTTCAAGATCTTTGACTTGTTTACTCTTTAGAAGCCATAGAGTAAAATGCGTGACCATTTCAATCCCCGAACTGACCGTGATAGATAGATAGATAGATAGATAGATATACAGACTGAGATAGATAGATAGATAGATAGATAGATAGATAGATAGATAGATAGATAATATACAGACTGGGATAGATAGATAGATAGATAGATAGATAATATACAGACTGAGATAGATAGATAAATAGATAGATAGATAGTGTTGAAACTTGACTAATGCATGGAATAATAATGCAACACAAAATGTACTTAGAACAAAATGTATTGAAACAAGAAAGTGTACACAATATTTACATATAGTCTCCATGTATATTCCTGGTAAGACCGTTCCTGGAGAATGTGTTGACTGAGTCACAGTCGAGCAGAGTCTCTGGTTGAATCTCTTGATTCCTCCCTCTCTTTCCGGTACCAACCATATTTATATGGTCGGTACTCCACTATGCAAACTAGGTGGATCCTACCACAACACCCCCTCCCAAGCCTTGGAATCCCTTTTGGATTTCAAACTGGCTTCCTATAAGTGTTGATGATTATGGCTATTTCTTTGTAGATCCATTTGCATACTTCATATGCATATGTCCATCCGCTTAATTTTAATATTTTTTTCCGTTTTCCGTCCAATGGGTCCGTGAACTTTCGTTTCCTACCGGATCTTCTCGGTTCAGGAGTATTCTGCGGAGGTTCTACTTGAAACATATCATACATTACCTCAATGGGATCTTCCTCCTCATCCGGTATACTCTCTTCATGCTCTATAACGTAACATTTTTTAAGTTGATTCTGGTGCCTTTTATGAGTATTCTTCGGTCCTTTAATTATGTAAATCAGGTCACCGATTCTTTTGTCCACTATGCCTCGCTCCCAGAACTGAACGTTGTTTTTGTAGCACTTGAAAAACACCTTCTCTCCGGAGGTGTATCTTTTTCTCGCTGTATACATAGTATTCTTTACTCTATTTTTTCCTGGTAAAAGTTTGTCAAACACTGACTTAACTTTCCTAGCGAACATTAGTTCAGCTGGTGCCATGTTTGAGTGTGTCCTCTGGTTTGACGTGATTCTGTATACTTGTAGGAATTGCTGAAGCGCCTTTTCCGTTAGAACTCCTGAGTCTTTCTTCAGAGCACGCTTTAAAGTATCGACAAATCTTTCTGCGAGTCCATTGGACCTCGGATGATACGGCGGCGTCGTTATGTGGTTAATTTTATATAACTTACAAAATTCCTTAAATTCTTCAGAAGTGAATTGTGTACCATTGTCACTCACAATACACTCTGGCACACCGAACCGTGCAAATAGTTCATGCAAGAAAGTTGTGGTATTGGACGTAGGCTTTTTGCAGCGTAGTACTTCCGGCCATTTTGGAAAACTATCTACCACTATTAAGTAGTAATAATCTTCTACTGGACCAGCGAAATCAATGTGTAATCTTGTCCACGGATGATCCGTCTTGGGCCATGGTTTGTGTACTATAGGTGGTGCCTTAGCTGCTAACGCACACCCTTTACATCGATGAACCATGTTTTCGATATCCACATCCATTCCTTTCCAATATACAAAGCTTCGCATTAAGCTTTTTGTTCTATTAACCTCCGAGTGACCCATATGAAAGTCCCGTAGTATTCTTTTCTGCAACTTTTTTGGTACTACTACTCTCTCACCATATAATAAAACTCCTTCACCTATTGAATAAATCTCCTGCACTTTTTGGTCATTTGCTACCATTTTGCTTTTTATTTCTAAAAGGAAATCATCGCTTTCAGCTTCTTTTTTAATTTCCTTTAGTGTAACCGGTATCTCTCTTACAATGTTGTTTACCATGCTTTTCACCTCATAATCTGCTCTGATATTTGCAATAATTGATTCTTCGAATCTTTCTTCTTGACTCGGTACGAGTCTTGATAAACTATCCGCATGAATTATATTTTTGGATGATAGGTACTTTATGTGAAAATCATAATTGAGAAGAATGGTTCCCCATCTCAACAGACGATTTGCCGTATAAACGGGTAACCCTTTCTTTGAACCAAAAATAGTGATCAGTGGTTTATGATCCGTTTCAGGCATAAAATGTCTGCCGTGAATGTATCTGTGAAATTTTGTTATGGCAAAAATGATACTCAACGCCTCTTTTTCGATTTGTGAGTAACTTCTTTCTCCTGGGAGTAAAGTTCTCGAAGCATGTGCAATTGGTTTTCTAGAACAATCTGGCATTATGTGATGAATACACGCTCCTATCCCGTATGAACTGGCGTCACTTGCCACTACAATATCCAGTTTTGGATTGTAATGGGTTAAAAATAGGTCGGACGTAAGCATTCTCTTTATTTCATCAAAGGCTTTCTGACATTCTACCGTCCATTCCCATGCCTTGTCTTTTTTTTAGCAGTTCATTCAACGGAGCTCTTAGATTATACATTCCTTTAATGAACGCTTGATAATAATTTGCGAGCCCCAGAAAACTCTGTAGCATCGCCACATTAGTGGGCGTCGGCATGTCTCTAATCGCAATGGACCTTTCCGGATCTGGAAATCTGCCCTTTTTGTTGATTATGTGACCTAAATACTTAATTTCCTCCAAACCAAATTCGCACTTTGACTCTTTGACTTTAAAACCAAAGTCCTGAATCTTTTAAATACTTGATTGAGATGCTCTCGATGTTCGTCGACGGTTTCGCTCCTTACTATGATGTCGTCTAAGTAGGCGCACGCAAAGTCTAAATCATTCAACATGACGTCCATAGCTTGTTGAAAAAATGGCTGGTGCCACTTTAATATCAAAAGGAAGCCTGTTGTACTTGAATAACGCTCTATGCGTGTTTATCCCTAGTAACTTCGAACATTCCTCTTCGACGGGAATTTGGAGATAGGCATCTGATAAGTCGATTTTTGAAAATATAACTCCACCATTTAGCTTGTTAAAAATCTCCTCCGGACTCGGTAACGGGTAATGGTAGTCCTTAATTACCGAGTTCAACCCTGTCGAAAAATCAACGCAGACTCTGAGTTGGTTTGATTTCTTTTTTATGCACACAATCGGCGCAGCCCATTAGATTCTACTTTCGAAATAATTCCCATTTTTTCCAACCTATCAAGTTCTTCGTTAATTTTCTCTACACTTGCGAAAAGCACGTTACGTTTCTTTTTAAAAAAATTGGCATAGTACTTTCCTTTAATTCAAATTTAGCTTCAAACTTGTTACATCTTCCAAGACCAGGTGTGAAGGTTTCCGGAAACTTTTTCTTTAATTCATCTTTAATGTCCTGTCTTGTTTGCGTATTACTTTCTACTTTTCTGCAGAATGAGTTTAACGGTTTATCCCACAATTCGAATGTTTCAATAAAATCTGTACCCATCAAGTTTTCTCCATTTTTCAGAATGAAAACTTTTATTTTTTTAACTATCCCATTCAATTTCATGGGAAGTACAACCTCGCCTTCGAAGTTAATTTCCTTTCCAGTTACCGTTCGAGCGCATTTCGTTGACTTCATTATTGTAAGCCTTTTTAAAATTTTCCATGTTTTATAGTTCATTATTGTTAAATCTGAACCCGAATCGAGTTGAAATTTGATATTCTTTTTAAATATTTCAGTCGTCACATATTTCCTCAAATCTCTATCTGATTTTATATTTGAATTTGTTTGTCTAATTCGGCTATTGACTTTTTTCGTTTTACAACACGATCCTTTGTGTCCATTCTTGTGGCACACGAAACATTTCTTATTTCTATATGGGCAATTTACCTCCCAGTGTCTTTCGTTGCAACGTCTACAATTATATGGTGGAACCTTTTTTCCTCCTCGTTCTTTTCATTTAATTTTTCTTGTCTATTTTTAAAATACGCCGAATTTTTACTCCAATTTTTTGCTGATGGGTAATTTGACTGTTTTTTTTTTAATTTTTTTAATATAAGCAATGCCAGCTTCTTCAATTTTTTGAGACTCTTTCTTTAAACTTACGGCCCGCTGACACTCCTCTGCTAACTTTTGTAGGGCAAGGTTTTGTTCAGATTCGAGTTTATTCGGATTTAGTGACATTCATGCATAACCATCGCTTATGCCAAAGCGACATATTTGCTCCAAACAACTCCTTTAGTAATTTCACTGTTTCCGAGAATTCCAATTCATTTGTTCTTCTCGGTAGAATAAAATCTACAAATTTGCTATGTTCTGCTGTACCTAGCTTTCTTAGTAATAGACTGACTTTTCTTGAATTCGACCAGTTTTCACAGTCTGTGTAGAAAATATCTTCATATCGTTTAAAGTACGCTTCAAACGTTTTTTCTTCGTCTGGCCCATAGTTGAAAGTTTCCAGCGAATTAAATATGATGTTATTAGAATATGAAGAATTTCCTTCATTTGCCTGATTGTTGTTTAATTTCTCCAGTGTTAACTTTTGAATTTCTAAAACTTTGATCTGCATTTCTTCCTGTTTTCCCAGTCTTTTCTCTTGCTTTTCTTGATATTTTTGCTGTCTTTCCTCTTGCCTTTCTTGATATTTTTGCTGTTCTATCTGTTGTTCCCTTATTAATAAGGCAAACTGTTCACTTTGACGTTGCTGACTCAACTGCTGGGATTTGAATAATTCAGATATGACTTTGGATAATTCATCCATCTTTTGCTGATAGTGTTCACGCAACAAAGAATATACTTTTAATTTGTGTATCCACGGATATAATATAATCTGACCAAAAAAATCGAAACAACTTACGACTTTTTTTATTTTATGTCTTGCTTTATAAAATATTGTTGAGCAACCAAAAAAAAAAAATTTTTTTTTAAAAGTTCGTTACCTTTCAAAGTCGACACGATGTATTTGTGCGCCTTTTAATTCCATGCATGTTTTTGTTGTCGGCCCGTTTTTTTTTGTTTTTTTTTTTTATCACCGTTATTCGTTTACGACACCTTTCAAATTTTTCTGAGTGAACGTTCCTTTATGCTTAGTCGTCCTTTAACGAGTTCTAAATATCCAGAAATCCAGAATCCTTCGCCGTTCCATTAGATGTTGGACTTTTAATTAATAATTTTTTCCTTCAGCCTGGGTTCTTCAATGACTTGTCCCAATTGTTGAAGGCTATCAATAATCAATTCTTTCTTTTTTTCGTATAGTTCTTTCTACCTCGTCGCCATTGTTGAAACTTGACTAATGCATGGAATAATAATGCAACACAAAATGTACTTAGAACAAAATGTATTGAAACAAGAAAGTGTACACAATATTTACATATAGTCTTTTGTATATTCCTGGTAAGACCGTTCCTGGAGAATGTGTTGACTGAGTCGCAGTCGGGCAGAGTCTCTGGTTGAATCTCTTGATTCCTCCCTCTCTTTCCGGTACCAACCATATTTATATGGTCGGTACTCCACTATGCAAATTAGGTGGATCCTACCACAACAGATAGATAGATAGATAGATAGACTTGTGTTGCTAGAGTAGGAGAGATAACAAAATGCAGAAAATAGAGAAACAAACACACATGAAAGGTGTGTATATATAATAAATTGATATATTCCAAACAAAGCAATGTGATGGATAGGTAGATAGACAGATAATGTACAGACTGAGATAGATAGATAGATAGATAGATAGATAGACTTCACGTAAGGTACTCACCTGTCATTATATGTCGTTTCATTTTCTTTTTAATCATCGTATAACCATCACCACCTTCGATGAGAAAGTCTGACGTGCTCATTCTATAAGCCTTGTTTTTTTCCAGAGGTTCGTATTTCGGCATAAGGCATTTCGAGCATCTTACAAGAACCTCAACAACACGTTGACCATTCGGCTTGGTAAGATCATATGTCACTTTTATCCCTGGTATGAAAAAAATATATAAAATAAAGAATTTTCCGCCATATAAAATTCAATTGAGAAAAAGTTAAAAACAAAAGCACTGTGAATATATTTAAAATTGTTAAAATTAATTCTTACGTGCCGGATGTTTTCCGTATCACTGAAGCAGACGTTAAAAGCAGAATGGCGTTATTATCTCTCTACTGTTTTTTGTTTCTTTTTCAATTCACCTCAAGCAAGGAGATAATGTCTCTACGACGCAAGGACGTGAAAGAAGATGAAAAAAACTTTAGAAGATACCGGAAACACTATACTAAGTAGGAAACTTGTTATTCCTGACTTGAATATTGAATATATTAAAGATGGCTGCTTCATGGCGTAATGTAAATAAAGATGTCAAAGAAGCTGGCCATCCTAGCGTTAAGGATTAAAGAAGCTTCTTAAAATTTTCACAACAATAAAATACCGTTAAATAGTTGAGATTAACAACTTTAAGAACATATTGCAATAACAAGCATATGTATGGAAACATGTCATTATCTGACGAATTAAGAGGGTATAAATGAAAAGATTAAAAACTGACTAGCTTTTCCATTTTCCTGAAGGAGACTGTAAACGCAAAAGATCGTTATCGCCCCCTCCTTTCTTTCTTTCTTTCTTTCTTTCTTTCTTTATTTCTTCTTATTATGTATACCTACCCTGAATCCATCTTGAAAATACAGGATGTGGAATTAATAAATACTAAACACTTCCGATAACAAATTAAGTACAGAAGAAAAATAAATTGCTCATAGAATAGGATGCAGCAAAAGTAATTTCGCCAATTGCTACAAAACCAAAACAACAACCTGAAAACTCGAATCATGTTCTTAAATAACCTCGTCAGATCAAAACCTTCCTATAGACCTTATGCATGTCGTCAAACCCTTTTCAGAAATATCTAAACTGTCAGCAGTATACAAACGCTTTCTCAGATCAATGGGTAAAAATGGTTTTGAGCGAGTAAAACCTGTGGTTCTTGGCAAATATAATCCTTTTTTAAACATTGTAAACTGGTGCTACTTACGACATGCGAAACTTCTATGTCACCATAACAGAATATCATCTTTGATGGTGAATATCTTTATTTAGATGTCCATATAACCACTCTGAAGATGGCCTATGTGAGCCGAAAGCTTAGATCAAGGAACAGCTTAATGAAAAAATATCCAAATGGTGGACAATTTTTGCCTTTATTTTCACCCGAAATTAAAGCAAACATACGAAATTTAGAGCTGCTCATGACCAGAAATAATAGACATTCAATATCTGTTATATTTAACATGTTTATATATATATATATATATATATATATATATATATATATATATATATATATATATATATATATATATCTGTGTGTGTTTGTGCGCGTTTAAAATATACATATTGAGCACTTTGTGTTCCCCTTTCGTGCAGGTGCCTCAAAATGAAAAGGAGTGGGGGCTAAATCAGAATGAGTGTGTGCTAAATCGCCCCCTGATTCTGATTCCTGATTCTATATTTTTATCTGATCATTTTTTTTTTTTTTTACAATGATGTTCACATTGGGAACGATAACGGTTAACCCTTGACTTGAGCAGATTAAGATTATATTAATCGGGGAAGCATCCTCTTCGGAATCGGATCCACTTGGCAGCGGTTTGTGCGAAGAAGCTGCTCGAGAAGAACTGACATCTCATTAATGGAATACGAAGAGAATGGCGGAGGTTCGCTACAATGTGGCTGGCATGGCGGGTCTTTGCCGCGAAGATTAGGACTGGTGGGACAAAGGAACGGGGTTTATCTGGACGCTCTCCGTGGAAATGGCGATAGAGCAGCGAGAGGGTTACGACGTCAACTCTGTGAGAAAAGGACTGCAGAGTTTTAAATGAGTTTTTTTTTTAAATATATTTTGAAAATTAAAGGCAGAAGAATTTAGAAAAGTAATACGACTCAGCTCAACAGCTGAGTTGACGACCGAGAACAAATTTTAATCCCAAGTTTCAACAAAAAAATGGAGGCTGAAAATTACCCAGAGTTCCATATAAAGTGTTTCACAGCCATTTTTAATTCAGGGCGCACCTGTAGAATAACTTAAACTCTGGGTTGCGCTTTAAATTTTAATATGGAAAAATAAGTCATGAAATTTGAAAATATTAAAGTTCTTTCTTGAAATAAGCATTTCTTTTTAAGACATTATGTCGCCTATTTGAGCGGTAGAGTTTTACATTTAAATGGATTCATGAAGAATCTGCTATTTTTTTTTTTTTTTTTTTTGAGAGACCGATAATGACTGATTTAAATCCGTCGAAGAAGGCAAAAGGGAAAGGATTATCTACTCTTTAAAGATTAAGGAATTTAGCATTCACTTCAAAAATATCAAATGACAAAAACTTGACTCAGACATAGAAGAAAAATTAGATCTAAAAATAATAAATTAATCTTCTGTTCACTTGGTCCTCACCTGGCTGCATTTCAAGACGCATTTGTGCGTCCCGGTTGAGAGCCACTGCTATAAGGGCAGTGATTCGTTAACTATTTTCAGATTATTTAAAGAAGAGTTGAATTCATACCTTTACAAAGGCATCTGCTCGTAAGCGGTGAATAAACGAACCCAATTGAAACTCGATTCTCTGATAAAATATTCTGAGCCATTATCCATTACACCATCCGCACACCCTGGCTTACACCTGGAATTCCCAAACGGCCCCACTTGTAGATATTGGACTGGCTCGACGTTGCTTAACTTCAGTGATCGGTGTTTCAACGTGATATGGCCGTAAGCCTATACTGGCACAGATTCCTCTAGAATTTTTGGCAATGTAAATTTAGCCGGTTAGCCTTTGCCAGTTCAGTTACGTGACTGTAATATCACGGTACTTTCATCGTATAAATTCCTGTGCTGATGTACTGGAGTTGAGATAGACCCGCACACGTTGCATCTAACAGGGAGCAGGTGGCCAAAGCTGACGTCACTGCGTCAAAACCTATATTTTCACGCCAGAAGGCTTTACGTATTCAGCTGTGTTCTGAATTTGAACAGGATGATGTCTACGTGCTTACATTCAGGCGAGCCAACCTCCCTACGAACAAAACATCTTTTTTTTTTTTTTTTGTACTGGGTGATGGAGGAAAGTTTTTTAACCCCTAAGATATCGCTATCGGAGAAAGACGAAGATGCGAGCCACCCGGCATGCGTATATGTTATAATTTTTACATTCTAAATTGCGATAAGCTTTTCTATTTTTTTTTTTTTTTTTGTGAGCTTTCTAAAAAAAAAAAGAAATATTAAATCTTAAAACTAAAAACGATGTGCTGTTAAATAAAATCGCCGTCATAACATAAAATGCTTGGAAAATAATTAAAACAGCTTTTGCTATCTTTTAGCGGGAATGCCACAAGTACGCAGGGGGTTACAGGGAGTGAAAATGAAAAAAAAAAACTGAGTATAGGGAGGATTGTGGAAAAGGACAAAATATGAACGGGATTCAAGAAGATAGAAGATGGCGATTGACACTGCATTTAAATTTTTGAGGATTGTATTTATCAAGGAAGCAAGTAAACGGAGAAAGTTCCACAGGTGGGAAGTGCGAGAAAAACAGTTGGAGTAGAAGTGACGGCGGAATTTAGCTATTTCAACATAAACGGGTGGGATCTAGATGTCAATTTACTAGCCCGCTTAAACTGATTTAGTCGGGGCATCAGTGAAAAAGCTGGTCAGAGCAGAAAAAAGCCACGTCATGCTGGTGAGAAAGTGACTGAAGTCGAGATGCCAACTAGATAAACTAGCACTGATGTTTTAGCTGAAATAAATATCAAAATGTACCCGTTCTTTAAATGGCAATAAATGAAGTGTTTATTGACTTCCAAAAAAAAAAATAAATAAATAAATAAAATAAAATAAAATAAAAATAAAAAGATTAATGGTCAAAATTAAAGATCTGCCAGTAAATTTGCGCCCTTGTTCTTACAATATTTCCCCATTCCTGGCAGATTTTCTATCATCACAGTAGGGGGGTATATCTAATAACGAAAGTGATGGAAACAAAAAGAAAAAAATCTACATGATATCGGATAGATTATATACAAAAATAAAAGAAAAATATTATATACAAAATAAAAACATTAAAAAATTATATACAAAATAAAAATAAAAAACTTATATGCAAAATAAAAAAAATATATATACAAAATAAAAAAATTATATACAAAAAAACTTATATACAAAATAAAAAAAAATTGTATACAAAATAAAAATAAAAATAAAAAACTTATATACAAAATAAAAAATATATACAAAAAAATTATATACAAAATAAAAAAAAAAAATTATATAAAAAAATATAAACAAAAAAAAAAAAAATTATATACAAAATAAAAAATAAAAACTATATACAAAATAAAAATAAAAAACTTATATACAAAATAAAAATAAAAAACTTATATACAAAATAAAAATAAAAAAATTATATACAAAATAAGAATAAAAATAAAAAATAAATAAAACAAAATTTAAAATGCGTGGAAAATAATTAAAATGACTCATGTTAACTCAGATCCGATAACCTAAAAAAAAAAAAAATTGTATACAAAATAAACATGAAAAATAAAAAACTTATATACAAAATAAAAAAAAATATATGCAAAAAAAAATTATATACAAAATAAAAATAAAAAAAATTATATACAAAATAAAAATAAAAAACTTATATACAAAATAAAAAAAAAAATATATATACAAAATAGAAATAAAAAAATTATATACAAAATAACAATAAAAATAAAAAAAAATGATTAAATGACTCTTGTTAACTCAGAACCGATAACCTAGTCCTGATGTTTTAACTGAAGTAAATACTGGGTGACCCACAAAATCTACCCACTCCTTAAATGACAATAAATGCAGTGTTTATTGACTTGCAAACAAGATTAATGATTAAAATTAAGAAATATTAATGTTTATTGATTATAAAGAAGATTAACGGTTTAAATTAAATATT